AGTTATAGAAATGACAACTTTCAGATCATTCTATACATCTCCCAGCTTTGCATTTGGAGTGAAATGAATTATTTTATTATTTTATTTCAAAACGGTCAGAGAGGAGGGTAATTTCCCTAAGAACCGCCCGCCGTGGTGCTTGAGGAACTCCTGTCTCTCAGCCCTGCCCCTTTCAAGGAGGAGAGTTTGGGTGGGGGGGGGGAGCAGAGGGAAAGCGTTCTCTTCTCACGGAGGAAATTGGCCTCAGTGGCTCGCCGTACGCGAAGCCTTAAGCAGCAGCGTGAGAGTTGGAAGAGCGAGGGGTTCGCCTTTCCATCCCTGCTGCGGGGCTTGCAGCTTTGTGGGTTGGGACTTTCATGCTCGCGGGATTCGAAATGCCACAATCGAGCGCGCCCCCCCAGATGTTGCGCCCGGTGCGCCCGGGCCCCCCTCCACCCCCCCACGCTACGCCACTGCCACCAACGTATTCTTCATATGCCCCAGATTATTATTATTATTATTATTATTATTATTATTATTATTATTATTATTATTATTATTATTATTATTATTATTATTATTATTATTATTTTATTATTATTATTTCAATTTATATCCCGCCCTTCTCCCGAAGGACTCAGGGCGGCTCACAACATTATTAAAACAAAGAAAGACCCACACACCCCACCGAATAAAAGATGAGGAATGGGAGGGGGGAAATCTGCCCTTGGAGATCTAAGCCATGGGAATCACGCAGAACCAGTCTGGATGACCTCTGGAGGGGGCAAGGCTCAGTGGGAGAGCTATCTAGGGGCATCTAGGGGGGCTGGGGAGAAGGGAGGGGCCTTCCATTCAGAGTTGCCCCCTTGATCTTTCCTCTCTCCCGCAGAGTTGCTCTCCCTCCCCCCCCTGATGGCAAATGTCTCCTACACCAGGAATGGCTTCGGGTGGACTTTCTGCTCTGGCCCAAAGAGGCCCTGGGGAAGACACCCTTCCCAACATCCCCTGCCCAGGAGCCCTCAGACCAGGGAGATGGACATCAGTGCAACCTTCCCAGAGATCAAGGCCATTGGCCACAGGACCACTCAGGGCCTTTTCTGAGGGGGGGTCTCAGATGAGCTCCAGTTGGGGGCCACACGTGAGACTCACACAGGACTCTCTCTGTTGGGGACCATCGGGTCAGGATGGGGTCCTTCACCCAGGACATGAAGCAGGAGGACCCTCAAACTGTGCAGGAGACACTGCTCTAGGAGTCTCCTCTGCCCAGAGGGAGGGGGCTTCAGACCCGAAGGCAGGGAGGGCTGTGGGGCGGCAGTGGCGATAGGTGGGCAGTCCTGGAAAAGGCCTCTGGGGTCTCAGGTGGAGGGAGGGAGGCTTTGGGTGCCAAAATGGGGCAGGACCCTCCAGTTGTGAAGGAGAGAAATGGCAGAAATGGCTGGGTGAAGGTATGGGGAGTCTCGGGTGTCCCCCAATGGCTCCCCACAAGTGCTTGAAGGCGACCATGCCTCCTGGCATCCTGGTCCTCAAAAGTAAGGTTGAGGAGAAGCAGAGCAAGGGAGCCTATGAGCAGGAGGGGAGTCCTGCCCCTTCCCCACCCTGGGATCTACCCATCCTCCTCCCAAACCAGTTTTAACTTTGGACCTGAAGTAGTTGGGATGGTTGATCCAGAGGCAGGGGAGGTGTCAATCTGGGGAGGGGAAGGGGAGAATGGAGGACCCTCCTTTGGGGGGGAGAGGAAAGAGGAAGAGGAAGGAAGGAAGGAAGGAAGGAAGGAAGGAATTCCAGGATTTTTCTTACAATGTTTATTTTTTTATGGCAAAGCGAAGGGAAGGGATTCGGACAAAGAGTAATGAAGATGAAGCTGCTGTGGATTTAAAGCCGGGAGAGATTTGGGTGTCTGGACTGACAGGCAGGTCCAGAGTCCCAGGGGTCAGTCTAGATGGTCTCCACCACTCCCTCACAAGAAAGAGAGGCCTTCAAAGGAAAGCCAAAGTGTCCCAGCAGGAAAAGCTCCAGGCTGCCATTCTCCACCTCCCACAAATCTAAAATCTTGACCCCCCATTTTTCAGAGATTGCAAAAAAGAGACAGAAATTAATCAGCTAATGAAAAAAAAACAACTTCCTTTCCCACCAGGAAGCAGGAAGGACGGCAAGATTAATTCATGAGTGCTGTAGAAAAAAAGAGATGGGGAAGAAAGTTAGAAAATAAAGTGAAGCCAGTGTAAATAGCTTATTATTCCTCTCTTTCAGCCACCCCACCCAGACAGGCCCACATTGCAGGGGGGTGGTTGTTAGGTAGGAACAAAATGAGGGAGTGCCCCCCCTTTTTTTCAAAGTGGAAAAGGATGCAAAGGACCAGCAATTCATCTCCAGAGGCTTATTGAATTTTTCCCAATTGACTTAACTGGGGGGTTAATCAGGAAAGGAGGCCTCCCCTCCCCCAGACGTTTCATATCAACAAAGAAGATGGGGCTACGATGGGGGGGGAGCAAAGCTGGGTGTCCCTTGGCCAGAAATTGTGAGAAATGTCACAAGGAGACTTCCCTTCTCTTTTGCAATTTCCCAAAACCTGGAAACATCCTGGGGCAGATTTTAGTGTTTGTGTGTGTGTTTGTTTTCGGTTGCACTGTTTTCAGGTCTCTGTAATGAAAAGCTGCCCAAAATTTCAAAAATTTGTGTTATCCATAGCTAGGAGATTTTGTTCAGGCACTTTTTTTTTAAAGGAACAATTAACGAATGTTAAAGAAACATCTATAACTTGGGGAGAAACTCACCTGCAGGAGGCTGGATGGGAGTTGCTGGAAGGAGAAAAAGAGCCAATCAGGACCCTTCATGGGCTGAAGGACTCAGGGGGCCCCTCGCCATTGATAGCCCATAATAAGTTGCACAATGCTCACTTATACAGTAGACTCTCAGAGAACAGAATTTCCCAAGCAAATTTCCCAGGGGAGCCTCCTTGCCATCTGCTAAGCTTGCTGAGAGGCCTCCCCTGGATGGTCCCCTCCCCACAATCTCTCATCCAGCCCCCCAGACTCACCTGTCTTGCTCTTCAGGTAGAGGGAGAGCCCCATGGCAAAGAATATCACACCGATCACGGCTGCCACGATCCCCGTCCAGAGTTTCCTCCTGGCAGAGTTGGAGGAACGGGGCTCTGGGGAAGGAGAAGGAGCCTCCCCTGAGTAGGAAGATGAGGACCAGCTTTCCCCCCCAGGAGGGTCCATCCCAGCTCCCCCCACAGGGAGGGTCCCTCCCCCTTCTCAGGGCAGGAGGGGGTCCCCAGACCAGGAGGGGAGGGAGGGGAGGGGCTCACCCCACTGGACGGTGATCGGGGCCTCCAGGCTGGCGTGCCCCACCTGGCAGGTGTAGACATCCCCCCACTGGGGCTGGGTCTCCAGCATCACCTGGAGCTGGTAGGTCCAGTCTCCGTTCTGGAGCTCCTCCCCGAAGGCCATGCCCTCCTCCTCCGGGCGCCCGTTCTTCAGCCACCGGACCTCAATCTCCACGGGGTAGAAGCCCTTCGCGGTGCAGAGAAGGATGATGTTGGGGGAAGCAGAATCCAGCTTGGTGGGGGAGATGGAGACGGTGGGCTTGACTGGAAGGGAGGAAGGGGAGGAGGGACATGGAGGAGACACAGGAGGGGCCAGAACGGGAGACCAAGTGGGTTAGTTCAGGCCAAGAGCCCTTTTTACTCCTGAAAATATTATTTGTTTTAAGTGATTTCCAAAGCAAACTGCAGAAAGAAATTAAACGGGATCCTGAAAGATGGAAAAACATAAATCATTCCTGGTTGGGATCAGTTTCCATCATCAACTTGCACAAGTCCAACAGGAATAAATGCTGGAAATGCCCCAGGATGGAAGGAATTTCATGCTAAATGTATGGGAGACGGAAAGAGACCCAAAAGATGGGGAAGACACACACAGCATGTTTTGGAGAATTGCAGGGATCCCATTCAAAAGAAAACCTTTTTTTAAAAAAAATAGGTATAATACCGGAACATCATCTCATGATAAAATGTCTCTAGGCAGCTTACAGCAGGGCTTTTCAACCGGTGGTACGTGTATCACCTATGGTACATGAGCACATGACAGATGGTATGCTGCCCTGCCCAGCCACGTGTAGTGGGGGAAGGAACGAGCCAGCGCAGGCAAGGACTTACTGTGAGAGAGTCCTCTGGAGCTGCAGAGTGGCTGGGGCGAGGCAAAGGCCCTAGGCTCACTTCCGGTTCACCCCCTTCCCCCTTGAGAAAGGAGGTGGAGGGGGCGGAGACAGGAGAGGCTATAAAAGGAGGCAGTTTGGGCCGGGAGAAGGAGAGAGAGAAAAAGAAACAGCCTTGGGAGGAGGCAGAGTCAGCTCTAGCTGCACGGAATGGAAAGAAGAAGGAGGAGGGTGGGGGGAGAGGAGAGGAGATCAAGCAGGCTAGCCACAAGTGGATCTACAACTTCTGTGGCAGCCACGTGTGCTGGCAGCAAACAAGAGGCAAGGAACGTAGGGAGGAGGGGTTGCCCTCCATGAGGAATGAAGAAAGGCAGCAATGAAGAAAGGCAGCACCGGCTGGAGGTGAATCACGGAGGGAGATGGAGAATGAAAGGATTCTTATGGGCTTTTGTGACTTTGAAGTTCTGGGATTTGTGCAATGGGGGCTTTGTGTTCTTAAGGAGTGTTTGGCAATTTCAATTTGGCTGATGGCTGATGTCTCAGGTTAGCTTCTACTGCTGTGCTGCTGTTAGCTGTAAGTTTTGCTGCAAGGGAGTTTGAAGTATTTTTCTCCTGAATGGATTTTGCCTGTAGCATTCCTTTACTTATGAATGGAGCCATTTGGGGAGGCTGCCTTAGCCAGCAGCCACACTTACAACATATTATTTTTCTTCCTTAAGTGCGGACTGCACTCCTTAACTTTCCTTTCTAGCCAGTAGCTAATTCTTAAAGGGGAATGCACCTTTTTAAGCTAGTTCCCTCAATGGCTTGTCTTTTCTGTCTCTGGAGGCTTTTCCTTGTTTGATGAATATATAGAAGAGGGCAAATAGGGAGGGTTCAAATTCTTCCTTCAGAAGGAGATGGGAATGAGAAAGAGGGAGACAGGGAAGAGGGAGGGAGGGAAGGAAGTCCCGCCTTAGCACTTGGCCATCTGCCAATGACTTTGCTTGTCAAAAGGTTGCAAAAGGGGATCACATGACCCTGGGACACTGTGACCATCATAAATATGAATCCGTTGCCAAGCATCCAAATATAAATCACATGACCCTGGGCATGGTGCAATGGTTATAAGTGTGAAAAATTGTCATAAGTCATTTCAGTGCAATTGCAACTTTGAACAGGTTTTTTTTTTTTTTTTTGGTCATCAAATTTTTGGCACCTTGCTAGGTGGTACTCGAATATTGCCATATCCTAAAAGTGGTACAGTCGGTGAAAAGGTCGAAAAGCCCTGGCTAACAGCATTAACACATTAAAATCCTAACAGATAAATATTTCTATATTAATAAAAATGGAATTCCCAGTCAAGATAAAATTATAGTTGAAAGATGGGGAGGAACAGGACGTGTGAGGGGCGAGGGGGGTTGCCTCTGAATTCAACAACTACCTCCAGTGTGAGGCTCCCCATTGGGACCCCCTGATTTTGAGCCAGGTCTCGCCTAATCTGTACTTGAACCTTTGTTTTTTTCTGCCCAAGTTCCCCCCCCCAACCTCTCCCTGCAGCCATCTGGCCTCCCTTCCAGCCCCATTTCCCCCGGGGAAGGAGGTGGGAAGGGGTCCGACCCTCCTACCTGGGATGGGGGTTCAGGGAGGGGTCTAGGAGAACTTGGTCCTTCTTAGATCCACTCCATGTCAGAGAACTTTTGCTAGCCATATTTTTCTCTGTTGAGGGATTCTCTGATGAAGAGCTCATTATATAATGTTTAAGAACATGCAATTTTTCAAGGTTTGGTTATTTGTAATTTAATCCTGGGATCTGGTCGGGATTTTTTTTATGAACAGTTAATTATCCTCCTAGGTTTGCAGAGAAAGGGGTGAAAATGGGGCTCTGGGGCTTTGCTTGGGGGGCACAGAGGAGGAGGCGGCCATGGGGCGGTCAGCCTCCTGAAGCCCTCCCCCTTTTAAGGAATTTTTATCACTGGATTTTAATCACTCCTGCCTTTTAAATCTTAAATTGTATAGAGTAGTTTGGTGGTTTCATATTTTATGTATATACCACGCAAAGTCCCTCTGTGAGAGAGAGGTTTTAAAAGCTGATAAGTAAATCAATATATTATTGATTTATTAATATAAAATATTGTATTGAAATATTATATAGCATATAGATTATATTGAAATATATCTATATATTGGGCAAGGGAGAGACCTTGCTGGATTCTGGAAAGAAGTTTTTCTGGGCAGGGGAAACTTTGGACCTTGGGAAGGGAAGGCAGATCATGGATCTGATCGGAATGAGAGGAATCTATTTCTTCCCTTTTCCATGTTTCATTGTCATCATTGTAGAATTTCAAACTTTTTAAAGGTAATTTATTTTTTAAACTTATTTTTTATACATTTTTATTTAGGGGTGATGTTATATCTTATGCCAATGGTGGCGAACCTATGGCATGTGTGCCAGAGGCGGCACTCAGAGCCCTCTCTGTGGGCACTTCTCTTAACTGCTGGCGGTGGGCTGCGGAGCCCCAGAATGCACCGGTCGAGGGGCCGGCAGGCTGTGGCTGCTGACGGACAGTCGGCCCCCATGCGCTCTCTGGCCTCTGTGTGTGGGAGCCGATGGTGTCAGACAGTAGCCGCCCTGGGCCCTGTCTTGCCTTTCCCTGCGATAATGGCAACCTTGACCTGCGTCACCCCGCAAGACGAGCCTCCTGCCCACCACCCCACCTGCCAGAGACCCCCTGGATCTCCCCCAACCCTGCCCAGCCCCCATAGGCATCCCTCCCCACGAGCAAGATTGAGGTGACCATGCCCACCTTGGCCACACCCACCCAGTCTGCCATGACCACCACAGCCACGCCCACCCAGTGGGCCACACCCACCCGGCACCCGGCGATGCATAAGTGGGTTTTGGGCTGCAGTTTGGGCACTCGGTCTCTACAAGGTTCGCCATCACTGTCTTGTGCCATGCAGAGCCCCGCTTTGAGGGAGGGAGGGAGGGAGGGAGGGGGGCGGTTTAGGAGTATCCATAAATAGCAATAAATACCAACGAATGAATTTCGTAGATCGGAGAGCACAGAATACATCAGGGGCAAATCTTTCTCCGGGAGAGTCCTAACGAATGAAATGAAAAGGGGGGTCCCTGCATTCCCCCCCCCCCTCCATGGAACTCCCCCTCCCCCACTCACCTCTCCGGCCAACCGCAGAAATGCTCTGGGCAACCTCGTAGTTGTTTCGGCAGAAGCGATTCACTCCGGCCTTCCAGTACTGCAGGAGGCGCTCATCCCTGTTCCAAGCCTGGGCAAGCGCCTGCCAGGGCGCCGTGACGGCCTGGAACTCCCCGCGGGCGCTGTCGAAGCGGAGATACTCCTGCCGGTCGTAGATGTACCTGTTCAGGAGCCTCACCCGCCGCGTCCCGTTGAGGAAGCGGCACTCGGCCTTCGCCTGGTACAGGAAGTGGGCTGCGGGGAGGAGGAGGAGGAGGAGGAGGAGGAGGAGGAAGGGCGTCAGGAGGGACTCCAGGGCCCATGGTTCCCAGCCTCTCCTCGAGGAGGCACACAATCGTATTAGAGGCGGGGAGGGAAACCTGCTGCGAGAGACTGCCGTTAGGCGCCCCCTGGAGGACGGATGGGGAACCGTCGGTCCCAGCGGGATTCCCCCTTGGTGGGGGGTCTGGAGGGGGCAGGAAAATGAGGGAGGGGATGAGCTTCCTGAGGGACCCCCCTTCTTTTCCCGAGGGTGGAAAAAGGCAGGCAGAAGTTCCTCTGGTCCAGCACTCGGCCTAACTCTGTAGGGAACGTTGGATCCCGGTGGGGCCTCTTCGCCCCCACAAAGCGACAGGAAATACGCGGGGAGGGAAGAGAAACCCCCCCCCAAGAACTCTCTGGGCTGGAGGGACAGTAAGATCCTCTCCCTTTGGGGGAGAATATGGGGAGGGGGTCACAATAAAGATACCTACACCCATGCTCCTGGGCTCTCCCCACCCTTCCAGCCCCACATTCCTTTTTCTTCTCCCCCCCTTGCCCCCATCTTCAGCCCCACAAGCTGCCTTTGGATGATTTTTGAGGCCTCTTTCCTGTCCCCTTCCCCAAAAGACCCCCCCTGCAGCCCCCCAATATCACCTCAAAGACAGGGGCTCCAGCCCCTTCACTAAAGGGGGAGTTTGCAGGAGCAACCCAGACGCCCCCCAATATCCCTCCCAATAGAAGCGGAGAAGGCGAGGGAGGGGAAGATTTTCAGTCTTGGGGGCTGCAAATTTAGAGGGGTGTTCGGGGGGGTTGTGGACTTCCGTTTTTGCCCCCTCTCATGAATCTGAACCACAGTCCCCCTTTCTCTGTGTGCCTGGAGGGGTGGACTAGATGCCCCTTTAAGCTCCCTTTAGGCCCCCATGAGGAGTCCAGGCTGGGTCAGTGGAGACTTTGGAAGGGCTGGGGGGGAGCCGGGGGGTCTCTCTGGAGAGTCTCCCTCCTCCTGGTCTTGCTTGGCCCAAAGGGGCTTTTCCAAAAGGCAGCTGGACTTTCCTGGGTTTTCCCTTGAAGACGTTTCGCTTCTCCTCCCAAAAGCTTCTTCCGTTCTGACCGAATGGTGGAGGGTGGAAAGACGGATATTCCTTGCCGTCATTTGGTCATTTTGAAAATCGGTCACTGGTTCTCTGAGGGGCCTTGAGGACCCCCAGGGGTTTATCTAGGCCCTCAAGGTCCCCTGAATTGGGGGGCAAAGGGGAGCCTTCCCGGGGCTGCTGAAATGAATCCTGTTATAGGCAGGAGATGGGGG